TGTCTCTGTTCTCTAAATGAGAGAACAAGGGAGGGAGGGAACCATGAATTTTGCCGCATATCTAGATTTTTGGGGGTTTTCAAAAGCCAAACACACTTAAACCACATCTGCAGCTTTCACAATGACTCCAGAATACTTGGGGTGCTAAAGTCACTTTGCTGCTTCGAGGTAGTGGATTAAAGAAGTGAAAGTGTTACAGCGACAAGAGAGGTCACTGCCCTGGGAAAGATACAGAAAGGAGCGCAACATGTAGATGATGGCGAGCACGGAACTGAGTGTGCGGCTGCTAATGGCTTTAGACAAATCATGTACAGAGACATTTCAAAAGGAAATTCTGAACCAAATGGAAGGGGTCAAACTTATTTGGATCCTGATCCAAACACTCATTGAAGAGACAATGGGGGAAATTTGAATGCCGACTGACTAGTTAACGTTATTAATGTTAATTTTTTTTTTTAGTACGATAGTGGCATTGCGGGATTTTTTTTGGAAAAGTCCTTATTCTTTAGTATTACATGCTGAAATATTTACAGGAAAAATGATATGATGTCTGGAATTTATTTTAAAATATTCTAGTTGGGGAAGGCAAGCAGATAGGCATGAGGAAGAAATAATTTTGACTATGAGTTAGTAACAGGCACAGGGACTGTGTGCATGAGGGATCATTAGACTATTCTATCTACTTTTGGTTTATACTTAAATTTTACTAAAAAAATGGCTGGACACAGCGGGCTCACATCTGTAATCCCAACCCTTTGGAAAGTCAAGGTAGGAGGATTGCTTGGGGTCGGGAGTTCAACAGCAGCCTGGGCAACATAGTAAGACCCCTGTGTCTACCAAAAAAAAAAAAAAAAAAAAAGGCTGGGCATAGTGGCATGTGCCTATAGCCCCAGCTACTTGTGAGGCTGAGGTGGGAGGATGGCTTGAGCCCAGGAGTTGGAGGCTGCAGTGAGCTATGATTGCACCACTGAACTCCAGCCTGGGCAACAGAGTGAGACCCTGTCTCAAAAAAATTACAAAATAAGTAAATAAATAATAGTAAAAAAATAAACTGGCCAGATGCAGTGGTTCATGCTTGTAATCCCAGCTGTTTGGGAGCTGAGGCAGGAGGATTGCTTGAGGCCTGAAGTTCAAGGCCAGCTTGGGCAACATAGTGAGATGACATCTCTACAAAAAATAGAAAAACTAGCAGGGCATGATGTTGTGCACCAGAAGGCCTAGATACTCAGAAAGCTAAGGCAGGAGGGTTGCTTGAGCCCAGAAGTTGGAGGCTGGTGATCAGCCCTTCATCATGTCTCACTGGAACCTAAGGATAACCCCTCACAAGCCTCTTGACTTCCACCCTGCCCATGCCCCTACCCTCTATTTCCAACACAGCAGCAAAGTGAATGCTTTTTAAAAATTATCTGTAGGTCAGTTCACTCCTCTGCTCCGGACCCTGCACAGACTCCCCTTCCCGCCCAAAGTGAAAGCCCGCAAGACCCTGCCCTCACTCCACCCTGCAGCAACCACAGGCCCAGATCCAGCTTGGCAGGTTCCATTCTGGGGCCTTACTACCTCCTTTACCCGGAACCCTCTTCCTCCATCATCCACTGGGTTTGTGCTCCAGGACTGTTCACTTATCACCATCTCAGCAGAGCTGTCCCTGCCCACCTAATGCTCCTGCCCCATGCCCACCATTTTTTGGTGCTCTTGAATTTCCTCTGCTGTGGTACTTTTTCTTTTTTCTACTTACTTTTTCCACTTTCTACCATATTCCTAATATATTTATGTATGATGTGTATCCCTTATTTTCTGTATCTGAGCAGAGAGAATTTAATCTTGGCTAGGCTCACCGATATCCTCCACATACCTAGAACAATGCGTGGCATGTAGTAGGTGCTCATTAAAATGAGAAGAATGAGAGAATGGATACATGAAAGCTGATTTTCATTCCATTCCAGCCACTTGCAACCACAAAATTCATCAAACATATCTATTGACTTGAACTGCCATTCTTGCTAGAAGACTCCGCTGATGGTGATCAATGTTTTACACCACCATTTTATTGGTTTTACTACATTGTAAAACCACTGTTTTACACTTTTTCCTTTGTAGAAAAGGGGAGCATCTCTACTTGTGATCACTATTCGTATATCTGGAGAAAAATACCAATCAATACATTTCCCATTATACTTCCCACATAGAAGGTTTTCATTTTGCTGAGGTTGCAGTTGTTATTTTTAGGGCCTGTTACTGTTTGTGACTCTGCCATTTACATTCTGCCAAAGGCTCTGTTTCTGATCAGCAGGTCTTCCGAGAACTGCCGTCCTATCAGCCAGCAGCATTTACCAGGCACCTTTTCGGGGTGCTGAGCCCTTACATGATGCAAAGTACAGCGGAGGCCTCGTCAGCAGCTCAGTCATGACATGCTTCACATCCCACACAATTCACCTCTTGCTCTTTAACTGTTTCATGGAGGGAAATTTTAAATCCAGGCTTCCCCCTCTAATGAGTTCCCATAAATGTGCCTGGGTGTTAAAAATACAAAATCCTAGCAAATGTTTTATATGATATAACAGCAGGCTCCAATCCAGCAAATAAAATAAATAAAATGATGAATCATGTTATAACTGTTTACTTAATTTTTACTTTTGGGTATTATTAATTATTTGTCTCAGCCATGCAAAGTGCTGTGATTACAGGCATGAGCCACTGCACCTGGCCAACTTATTTTATTATTGACTTATTTTTTATTATTTTTTAGAGACAGGGTCTCACTCTGTTGCCAAGGTTAGAGTGCAGTGGTATATATATACACAGACACACACATACACATATATACACACACATGCACACACACACACATAACTAACACAGATTAAAAACTAAAAGAAGTAAACAGTTTAACAATTTTCTAAAGCATTTCAATAACCCAAGTTTGAGTTCTCTCAGCTCATGTGAAGTAAAATTCCATAGACAGAAGTATAATTTACTTTTAATTATTTATTTATTTCAGACAGGATCTCACTCTGTCACCCAGACTAGAGTGCAGTGATGCGATCTCGGCTCACTGCAGCCTCAACCTCGAGGGTTCCAGCAATCTTCCCACCTCAACCTCCCAAGTAGCTGGTACCACAGTGTGTGCCACCACACCCAGCTAATTTTTTGTATTTTTTTTTTTTTTTTTTTTTTTTGCAGAGACAGGGTTTCACCATGTTGCCCAGGCTGGTCTTGAACTCTTGAACTCAAGTGATCCACCTGCCTTGTCCTCCCAAAGTGCTGGGCTTACAGGCATGAGCCACCGTGCGCAGCCAGAATAGGTATATTTTAATGTTAAGAAAAAGCACTTGCCGCTGATGATTTTGCAGAAAAATAAGAGAATATGATGCTTATGTTGATGGAATCTTACTGATTCCCTAAATATGTGTCAAGAGAAAGAACACAGGGTTTCTTCTCATTTTTTTTTTTAATTTTTATTATTTTTTTTTGAGATGGAGTTTCGCTCTGTCGCCCAGGCTGGAGTGCAGTGGTGCGATCTTGGCTCACTGCAATCTTCATCTCCCAGGCTCAAGTAATTCTCCTGCCTCAGCCTCCCGAGTAGCTGGAACTACAGGCATGTGACACCACTCCTGGCTTAATTTTCTGTATTTTTAGTAGAGACACAGTTTCACCATGTTCGCCAGGATGGTCTCGATCTCCTGACCTCGTGATCCACCCACCTCGGCCTCCCAAAGTGCTGGGATTACAGGTGTGAGCCCCTGGTTTTCTTCTCTTGATAAAGAGCCTGTAGTGCCATCTCCCATGTAACTGGTCCACATACTTTTGTACTACTCTCTGCATTTGGGTCATTGGAACACTTTACTGCTAAATTTTTTCATTTGTTTCTTCCCTTCTTGTTGCTTTTTTTTTTTTTTCAAAGAATTGTGGTAAAAGATACATAAAATAAAATGTACTACACCAAACATTTTTATGTGTACAATTTAGTGGCATTAAGTACATTCACCACTAATTCCAGAACTTTTCATCATTCCAAACAGAAACTCCAAACCCGTTAAACAATAACTCTTTTTCTTCCCTTTCCTCCAGCCCCTGGAAGCCTATACTCTATTTTCTGTCTCTAGGAATTTGCCTATGCTAGGTAAATCCTCTATGTGGAATCATACAATATTTGTCCATCTGTGTCTGGCTTATTTCACAGAGCAGAACGTTTTCAAGTCTCATCCTTGTTGCAGCATATGTTCCTCTTTATGGCTGGATAACACTCATGTACATAAATACCATATTTTGTTAATTCAACTACTCATTACCTTTTAGGAATAACTGTGGATGATCTATTTCCAGTGCCTCAGATATGTCCTTTAATGTGCTTTTTTTCTTTCACAATGAGACTCTGTGACATAAATTGTATATACATAAATTTTAAGACAGGATTATTACCCTTGAAACTCAGAGTCACACTGCAGAGGCAGTCAAGTGACATAGTTTGGATATTTGTTCTCACCCAAATCTCGTGTTAAATTGTAATCCCCAGTGCCAGAGGTGGGGCCTGGTGGGAGGTGTTTGCGTCAGGGGAGCGGATTCCTCATGGCTTAGTTTCTTTTATTACTGTCTTTGCAATAGTGAGTGAGTTCTTGTGAGATCTGGTCACTTAAAAGTAAGTGGCACCTCCAATCCAATCTCTGGCTCTCTTGCTCCTGCTCTGGCCATGTGACGTGCCTGCTTCCTCTTTGCCTTCCGCCTCATTGTAAGCTTCCTGAGGCCCGGAAGGCCAAGCAGATGCCAGCACTATGCTTCCTGTACAGCCTGCAGAACTGTGAGCCAAATTAAACTTTTCTTTCTAAATTACCCAGTCTCAGGTATTTATTTATAGCAGTGCAAGAACGGCCTAAAACATCAAGTAAACAGATTATTCCAACACAACAGAGAGCACTGTGACAAGGTTACGAGGTCACAAAGGGGAGAACAAGGAACTCTGGGTGGTGGCAGAGAGTTTTCAGTGAAGCAACAATATCTTACCAGGGTTTTGAAGAATGAACAGAAGCTCTGTGTTAAATGAAGAAGAAACAGGAGTCCCTCCAAGCACAGGAACCACTCATGTCAAGATATGGGGCAAAAAGAGAGGACGTATTTGGAGACTAGAGAGTAACCGAAGGCTATCATTCAATCGGTGATAGTCTTCATGCAGGTTAATATCAAAGGCAACCTGAATTTCCTCAGACTTCATGAACTGGCGGTGAAGGGTGAGATCACACAAGCAGTAATAACCCAGCTCTCCCTGGCTCACTGCCTTAAATACTGGACTTCTGGTCCCCAGCAAAGCTGTCCCCATGAATTTGGGAGTCTCCATTCCTGTCCTTCCACTCCCCTCAAACGTCCTTGCATTCAAGGTCACATGGTAACTTGACTCTTCTCACCACTACTTCTGTGGGAATGCGGGGACCAGGCCAGAGCTGTGGGTGCTGCCCTCCCCAGAGACTTCACTATGCCCAGGGAGGACTGACTGGAGGAGGGGACCAGGCATCTCCCCTGCACTCTGGGCCCACAGCAACCCTGTATACCAGTCCGTATTAACCTTACCACTCCTTCCTCCAAAGGGCTGAGACCTCAACCATGGGACCTGGGTGGTGATCACCACAAAACTTCTTCCTGAAAGTTCTTCTCCAACAACTTTTCACATTCAGTTATTCATTCAACAAACATTGAGCAACAACCTAATATTCTGGGCTCTGGAGACCGAGTTCAAAAGAAGACAGCAGGCCTCTGCCCCCACTTCCTGACAGGTCACTGCATCTTGAGTGCTAAGACTGTCATCACAGAGTGAGGAGGGGAACTGAGCTCAGAGGGGTAGAACCTCCTGAAAGGGCAGAACAGCTCATGCATCCTGCCAAGGTCAGAAGGTCAGTGCCTACTGCATCTTCCTCTCTTCCCATCCCCGATTGTGTTTGAGGTGTGTGGGGCGTGGCCCAGGCTGGCAGCCAGTAAAGCCTAACTGGTCCTAAGACTAATCAGCCCAGCCCAGCAGCCAGCTTCAGGAGTCTGGCCAGTTCATTAAAGTTCCCCAGAGTCCTTGCTTGTTCTAAGCCTAGAACTCCTGTCAACTCTTGACATTACCCTCCCCCAACTCTTCATATCTAACACACACACACACATACACACACACCCCTCCACCTTGCATTTTATACCCCAACCCCCTAGGGTTCCTCAATATTTCCCAGAATAAAGTCCCTATATGCCCTCTTGTCTGTGCACCCAAGCTGCTACCCTTGGCTGGAACAAGCTCGTCTCCCTCCCCAGCGAGCACCTACTTGATCCTTCATGACAGCTTAGGTATCCAATACCTCCTCTGGGTGGCCTCTCTTGGCAATACCAGTCTAGGTCACGTCTCCCTCCTACTATAGCCCATATTACATTATGTTGAAATGTAACCCAAATGAACTAGTCAAAGGTCTGTTCACACCGAAATAAGCACCTAGACACAGGAACTAATGATATCTTACTCATTGCTGTCCACATAGTAGAGTCTCATTCAGAGTTGATTGAATGAATGAGTGGGTGAATGGTAGAATCAAAGTGGAAGAGTTCAAGACAGTTGCCACAAACTAGGCTGGATTTCTTGTCATTTTTAACTTGCTACCAGTTAGTCACATGGCTTATGGATGAATTAGACTAATTTAAAGATACAGAATCAAATACTTGGTTCAGTTTCTAATCAATGAATCGGCTGATTAGATCAATCCATTGCAACTGCAGGGCTCTTTCTGTAAACACAGAAATTCTACAATATACTTTTCTTCAAACTCTCTGTCTGTGAGTACTGAGTTATTTAATTAAGGACAAATTTTAATTTTTAAAACCTAGTGAATTATATTTTCATAAATAATACCATACAATCATTACTAAAAATGTTGAAAAAACACCAAGTATCTGTTTTCCTGAAACAACTCCCAAATGTGCAAGAAATTTACAACTTATGTTTTCATAACAATCCTCATAATCCCTAGTCTCAATTTTTGTTTTAGTATTGAAAAATAACAGTTTGGCACGGTGGCTCACACCTGTAATCCCAGCCCTTTGGGAGGCCGAGGCAGGTGGATCCCCTGAGGTCGGGAGTTCAAGACCAACCTGACCAACATGGAGAAACCCTGTCTCTACTAAAAATGCAAAAATTAGCTGGGTGTGATGGTGCATGCCTGTAATCCCAGCTATTCGGGAGGCTGATGCAGGAGAATTGCTTGAACCCGGGAGGCAGAGGTTGCAGGGAGCCAAGATCGCACCATTGCACTCCAGCCTGGGCAACAAGAGCAAAACTCTGTCTCAAAAAAAAAAAGAAAGAAAAGAAAAGAAAAGAAAAATCACTAGTGTTTTTATTGGTATTTCTAGTATTGGAAAACAACTGGTATACTTAACAATATTTGTTACATGGCAGAGTAAGAAAGGGAAGAGGAGAAGGGGTTATCTTACATGCTCATGAATGAATTACATTCAGTTCCTTCCTTCATTGTCTCTTTCCACTTCAGATCCAGAAAGAATTAGGAGTGGAGGTAGAAGGGAGAGATGTCAGGATAGGGTTACCATTGATATATGTAGCATCACAAACTAATAAATAACTCATAAATCCTCTGCTTCTTCCTCTCCTTCCTTTCTCCTTATATTTCCTCAGTAGGATCAGTGACGATTTTGAAACAGCCTGGTCTCACATCACATTCAGGAGATTCTGCCTCTGAATTCTTAACAGCCTGAGAGATGCAGTTGGGGCTGACCTGCTTGATCATATGCAAATTAAAAGCAGATGCTAGTAATGAGAACATTCCAGCCAAAATCCAAAGCTACCCCAGAGGAGTGGAGCATGAAGACACTTGCTCTATTGGAACAGTCATCTATATATTACAGTAGGGGAAAGCCTTGATCCCATTCCCAGAAGTCTTCACGACCATTGAAGATGAGGTGGTTTCTTCTTGGGTACAGCCCAACCACATGGGTGGCAGAGGCCAAAGATGGGCTGAGGGGGCTAAAAGCTACCATATCTGCTTCTGACTGCCAGGTGTCTAGAGAGATCCTTTCAATGCACTTGTAACAGATCTCCCCTCCTCCCAGAGAGTGGGGATGGGAGAGGCCTAAGCCATACCCATGCATTTCAGCTGGTCAATCAACAGGGAGGCGTTTAGGGGCCCTCGAGCTACCTAATCACCAGTACTGGTCCACCGTTTGCAGCAAGGTCCTGAAATCCTCCTCAGAGGTCTACAAATCCTAACGTACTTGTACTCAAAGGCCAGCTGGGAAACAAAGAACATGAGCTCAACTTTGTAAAAGGATCTCTATCTCCTCACATTGGAAAAACACATGAATGTACCCTACCACTACAGAAGTCATTTGTACATGCTCCTTACCTTTCTCTATCCAGAATATTACTAAAGAAAATGACAAAGGAGACAGGAATAGGTGAAATAGTGAGCTTTCTGGTCTCCCCACCATTTAGCCTAAAAAATGAAAATGGACATGGAAACATTTAATTTCATCCTTATAACAGATCTGATACTCAATTTTTTAAAAACCTAGTAGTTTAACTACATATGAATTTAGAAATTTAATATTTATAATGCAAATAGGACATGTTTACATGGTAAAGGGAATGAGGTAGGTGAAAGGGAGATTTGAAGATTTTGAAGCAAAAAAGTAGACATCTTTTTTCTCCTATCATATTTTTATATGTAAATAGAGGGAGATTCTTTCTTAAAACATGACCACAATATTATTTCACACCTAAGAAGGAACATTAATTCTGTAATATCATCAAATATATCCAGGATAACTTTTTTTCCTTACACTTTGAATAAGAATTCAAAGTCCATATATTTTGATTGTGCAGTGTTTCTTATAAATCTCTTTCCATCTATAGGTGCCGGATCCAGGGCAAAAATGAAGACATATGGGACCTTAGGTGACAAGGAAGAAGCTCCCAGGCAGCATGTGGGATGGACCCAAGGAGAACGTCAGAGAGAAAGGTTCAGTCTGGTGTCTCCTAAAGCAGGTGAGGTACACATGGACATGAAGGATCCCATCCATCCTTCAAGGGTATCGCTGAGGCAGGAATGAGAAAACAAAACAAAGCAAAATGGGAAAAAAGCACAATTCTCATGAAAGATGGTTACAGCTTATTCCATAGAACCCTGGCCTAACTTTACCTTCAAGAACATGACCTGACTTTGCTTCCCACTGACAAGGTGTCACCTTTTACAGTTCTATTCGGGTTCAGGCAAAAGAAACAGCATACTTGTGTTTCAAAGGTGGCAGCATGCTGACGAAGGAGCGTGGAACTGGTGCCTCCAGGACTCATGACAAGACCTTACGGAGAAAGAAGTCACCCAAGGGCAAATGACTGGAGTGTGGAAGAGTATGGAAGAGCTGGACCAAATCCACATGGTCCGGTCAGTTCTCCAAACATCAAGACCCTGTGCGGTGAGGGTGAGCCATCTCAGCAGAAAGGTATACCTCCCTGCCCATGCCACCTCCAACACTTCCAGACCTTCTCTTCCCTCCTTCCCCAATCCCACCCAAAGCTCCAGTTCCAGCAAATGTGGGAGTGCAACGAATGCAATTAGCTGGGGTGATGGCAGCAGCCCCGAACTTGGACTCAGAAGACCTGGCTTTAAATTTCGCCTCCGCACTTACTGGTTGTATGACCCAAGGCGATTTACCTCCCCCTCCACTTTCCCCATCTGTGAAATGGGGTAAATAAGAGTCCCACCTGATTCAAAAGGTTATGAGGATGAAATATGGTTGAGAGATGAGAATCCTTTTAAACTTCTCTGCAATACTAATGGTGATAATGATTAAAGTAACTTAGTTGCAAAATAATGTGAATGACATTACCTGGCCTTTAACCCTTCAGGAAGTGTTTATTCTTTAAAGGGAAAAGTTTGTCAAACCAAATGAATCCTCTTGGTGAACTACACGGATAACATATTTTGGAGAGAGATGGTAGGCCAGTTCCTGTGACCCTCTCTAACTGAGGCTGGGGCTAGGGAGGGAGGCCCTTTCATTCTGGCCTCATTTTTGTTTCAAAGGGAAATGTGGTCTCTCTGAGGGAGGAGGACAGACAGGCAGTATAACTTCTCACGTCTTTGTGCATCATTTTTATTAGTTCCTGGCCCACATTTTTAAAAAAGAATATTTACTCTTAAATGACACACTTTAAAAGCATGCTTTTCTAAGCGGCAGCAATTGGACCCCATGGTGTGGCCAGTGCATTCAGTCTGAAAACCCTACGGTGACACATCACGGTGGTCCTGTGGAGATGGGTCCTGTGGCGATGTATGTCTTCCTTCTCCTCTAGTTAGCGCCCTGTGAGCTGGGAGATTCAAATCTGATAGCAGCTTGAAAGCTTCAAACCTAGAGTCCTCCAAGCTGGGAAGCTGAATTGCTGCTCTAGGGCTGCGTTTAGATTGATTTTCTGAATGCTGTCACTGCAGAGGAGCTAGTCAACTTTTCTCAAAATATTTTTCTCATCTTTTTCACTTTCCTCTCTCCAGTTTGACATACGGAGTTATAAATGTACTTTCTGGTTTTGTTTTACGCCTTGATTTTTATTTCTGATGATTCTATCAAGCTGACTGCCTTCAATGTTTTCTCTATTTAGGAAAATGCACTACTTCCTGTATTCCTCACCTCCCTCCACCAGAGATTCACTCTCCTGGCCCACGCCTTGTGCCTGGCACACAGGAGCATTGGAGATGCCCCACACCTAAAGTCCATACCTTAATGTCTTGAAATAAATAAATGAATTTAAGGAAGAAACTCTGAAATAAACTGGGGCTGAATTATACAGTAGCTGGCATCACAAAATTCTAATCAAAGCTAGGGAATTTAATAACGATCCCTGCCTAAAGACCTAAAAGCATGTTCTTTTGTTACTTTGTTAACCATCATGAGTTTTCACTGTCCCTTCTGCTACTGCCTTCAATGTAACACTACAAATAGATTAATTACTAAGAGTAAAAGGTTTTGTCTCTTTTCTTTCTTTTTTCCTGTTTCTTTTTTAAAAAACTAATTGTGAAATAGCTAATTTAAAAGGATAATTTTTTTAAACAACAGTCTTAAAAAAAAAAAAAAGCTAAATGTCATAGTGCCCTAAATTCTTTTGTGTCGGTGATTATATTGTATGTCAAGAAACCATCCTGAGGTGATAATTAGATTTTATCTGCAAATGGAGGTGGGAGGATGAGAGTAGGTAGTAGCGTCAACATTTCACCAAAACAATAAGACAATTCACACGACGAGGTAGGAAAAACATTACTCAAACAGGAGGTTGGGGCTACTGTGTGATTAAGGGAATTTTGACACTATAATCATCTAGGGTGGGTGTATATTTTATTTGCCTCTCTATGACCAGACATTTAGGAAGGCAAACTGGAGCAAGAAAAAATAGACTGATAACCAAAATGTAAAATATCTCTGTGTTGATCATCATGGAAGTGAATAAAACAGGCCACAAAGACCCCTTTTTTCCCACAGAACTTTTCAACAGATGGTTATACTAGTTGTTTCAGAATTAATACCAAGGATTGAGGGTTGGAGGCATGTTATTTAGAAGCAGTGCTGGTGTGAAAGTGACAAGGTTTTTGGCTCCAAGTAACACCTCCCAATTTGTACAGCAACCACAAATGTGCTTCAGGCAAGGTGGCGTCCTACATTTTAACTTACCCCCAAGAAAATATCCTGAATTTCACAGGTGTTCTCAGTAATATGACCTGATTGAAAATAGCTTCTATTCTGTATTTTTCCCCAGGTTAAAATTAAGCTCGGCAGGCTCGATGTAAATGTGCAGACAAAGCAAAGCAGGAAGCCTCCCACACTAAAAAGGGAAGATAAGAATCACAGAAGCCGGGATGGTTTTTATTGAAGGGCACTTCAAAGCAAATACAGACATCTACAGCATATCTGTAAATCCTCCGTATGTGTATGGAAACACACACCTTCACACATCAAAACTGGATTTGTTCCTGAGTAATAAAACGTCCTAAGAACAAAACGAAAGCAAACTGAATAGCAGAAAAATACTTCCATCGTATACCACACAGGATTATTTATTAACCTCAACACACCAAGAGTTAAGAAAATAATGCAACAGGAACAAAGGGCAATGGATACGTACCGGGAAGACCACAGAGAAAGAAAATGCAAAAATGGCTAATAATATAAAATATTTCCTAGGTTCTATAGTAACCAGGGAAAGACAAAATTACACTTTTGACCTCTTAGACTGGCAGTGACAAAGGTTATTTGAGTGACCAAACTTTAGTCAGGCTCCTGGATCTTCTAGGCCCATCTGGGCACTTCCTCATAAAATACAGTTTTAGCAAACGCCCTGCTAAATTGGTTTACCAAGAACTCCTACCCTCAGTGGAGTTCCTTATCTCTTCACCTTTCCTCAGGTGAGGCCTGATCATCCTGGCCTATCTTCAGCAAGAGGGCCCTAACCGTGACGTTTCCTCTTAGTAAATTTCCATCCACTGACACTCACTTATAATTTATAGCCAGGAGCAAGCTCCTTGGCTTTAAATTATTTTCCCTGTTATATTCAGAGTTGAGCCCAATCCCTCTCTCCGACTACAAAATCTGATAGCAGTAGTCCCTATACCTATTGCAATGGTCCCAAATAAAACCTGCCTTACTGTGCTTTAACAAGTGTCATTGAATAATTTTTTAACTGCAAATTGTTGGAGGTAAAGACATTTTTAAATGTCTTCAATTAGTTTAGCTACTTCCATGTAATGTTAGAATCTCCATCAATTTGCTAGTTACTGTCCCTTCCTGAGAAGAAGCAGACACCATAGCCCCGCATACTTTGGATTCACTCCTAAGTTGATATTTATATGAATGAAATAGTTATCGCCCAAACTTTGCTTTCTACATTTGTATCAAAAAAACATGATGCCCCTGTGCCCAGCGCCCCCACCACTGGATCCCCAGCCTCACTCAGAGAAAGTGTCAATGTCATTGCGATGATCTACAGGGTACCAACCCGGGATTCTTTTCTGTTCCTTGGGGCCTTGTTCTTCTCTCTGCCTGGAAGGATCACCCTTTAACTTCTCTCAGGCCTTTCTTCAAATGTCACCTTCTCAGTGGGGCCTGCGTTGGTTGCCATACTTACGGTTGCAGTCTGCATACCTTTACCCCAGCACACCCTCTCCCCTTCCTCTGCTTTGTAATCACCATCTAATATTGTTTATTTAGTTTGTGTATTGTCTCTCTCTCCCAGCAAAGACTCTCTTCTTGAACAAACTCTAGTCAGCTCCCCTGAGCCCTCTTCTCAACTAGGCCTCAACCTCGGCCTATAGAGGCTTAAATAAAACACGCATACAGTTTCTAACAGCTCAAGGCCACATCTCTAGAATGACCTTAACTCCCCTTAAAGTGCCTTCCTGAGAAAACTCAAAATGTCAGAATAATTCACTGTTTGTTCATCTAACATCTGAAGATGGGGCTCCTGTCTCCAGCCTCTGTGGGAGGGTGGGAGCCTGACTTCCACAAGCACCAGTTAACAAACCTAGATGAGTTTACATGCACCAACTCCCCTCTTCCTGCTTAGTATGGTATTTTTACTTCCGTGAATTTACTGAACCTCTGCTCACCTCCCTCTATACTCCTTCATTCTCTCTTTAAAATGCACAGTCACTTCTGTACAAATTAAAGTTGTTCAGTTCACACTGAACAGTTCTCTGTGGAAATAGTCTATCACTGATTAAAATCTCTCCTTGCTACTTCAGTGTCCAGCTTTGTTTATCTTTGACATCCTCACTATAATGCAGTCTCCATGAATTGGATTTTTGTTTTCTCACTGGCACATAATAGAGACTCAGTAAATACTTGCTGAACCTTGTTGATGGGTCCACAGTGGTGCATGGGTTTTAGCCCCTTAGCCACACTCCTGGGCTGGGATAAGCATGTTGAAGCATCTGGATGAAACATCACTGCTCATTTCACTCCTTAAATACCTGGCAAGTGACAGGCGGCTGGACAATAGACATCATGTCGGTTTTCCTAAAGGTTTCTTCAATTTGTTTTTTGGTTTGTTTGTTTGGTTGGTTAGTTTTTTGCTTTTTTTTTTTTTTTTTTTTTTGAGATGGAGTCTCGCTCAGTTGCTGAGGCTGGAGTGCAGTGGCACGATCTTGGCTCACCACAACCTCTGCAATTCTCTGGCCTCAGCCTCCTGAACACCTGGGACTACAGGTACCCACCACCATGCCCAGCTCATTTTTGTATTTTTAGTAGAGATGGGATTTCACCATGTTGGCCAGGTTGGTCTCAAACTCCTGACCTCAAGTGATCCATCTGCCTCGGCCTCCCAAAGTGCTGGGACTATAGGTATGAGCTACCATATCCGGCCTTCAATTTGTTTTAAATTCTGGTAGAGCACCATCTACTACATGCTTAATATTATCCATAAACAGACAGGTCTGAGCACAGAAGATCATGTTAATGAAGATTATCGAAAACTACTGGGTGAAGAGTACTTGCTTCACACGAACTTTTCTTATTGGTTGTTGTTATTTCCCCCACTTCCCTTTCCTTTATTTCCATTTGCGATTTTGCTTCTTAAACTTCCTTTCACCTCCAACTCCCTCAGTGATTCTCTGGGTTTTCATTCTTAGAACTTCGTCAAAAATGCTTTTGGCTGTGAATTCCAGTGAGTTCCTTCAGATGCAATCTGAAGATGTCCTTTCAGTTTTTATTCTTTAGGTTGTCTTAGGTGATCTGGGGGCCATTAACCTCCCTCACCACACTCTTTCTTCCCTAGTCTTCTAATTTTTTTTTCCAGCTGTGGCTTCTCACCATTTTCAGTTGACTACAAATACTCGCAAGTATGATCAGTCGCTTTCCAACAAATGCTTTATAAGCAACTACTATGGATAAGGCACCATTGAGATTACAAAAGTCTACTACTCAAAGTGAACTTGAAGAGAGGGAGACAGTCTATACTCACATGAAAAGTTGAAGTTTTCTGCATAGTACTTGCCAAACAAATTGTTAAGCAAGCACTACGCAGTAAACTAACTTTTCATGTGAACAAAGCTATGTAGGAAAATTCCGGTGATACCCAAGGCAATAATAAATGGTCACATTATTAATCCAACCAGCAAGTCAAAGTTCTCCATTTAGAGCTTAGCCTCCCCCATTATTACATTTCTCTCTTCTACAGGGTATTTTCAATGGGTATTGTAATATCAACCACAGATAACAAAATTAACATATCTTCTTATTGCAGTCTCAACCCTATTTTCCAACATCTTCGTAATTATCATTGCCACCACCGACACTCTGATACTAAGGTGTATCTCAACATCTTTAGTCTCCCTAGAAGGAGGTCCCTATGTTTAACCCATGGAGGCAATAGTTCCCAAGGCCTCCCTTCCTTCCTGTTCCTATCATTATAGCCCTGGACTAGGTGTCGAGAAACCCAGCTCATCTGGTTCAGCCTTACCTTTTTCTAGTCTACAAAAGGCATAACAGACACTAAGAAATGAAGAATTAAAAATGCTTCACAATTGTAAAACTTTTGAAAAGTCCACAGTAATCCACACTTATCTGAGGTTTACTTTCCACAGTGAAGTAGGGTATTTTGAGAGGGAGAGAACACATTCACTTACTTTTTACATTATAATTGTTAGTTATTGTTGTCCTTACTGTACCTAATTTTAAAATTAAACTCTATCATAAGTATGTATGAATAGGAAGAAAAGAAAAAAACAGTGCATAGATAGGGTTCAGCAGGTGCTACCTGCAGGTTTCGGGCATCCACTAGGGGTCTTGGAATGAATACCCCACAGATAAGGGGGGACTGCTGTATATCCATCTTCTACTCTTGTCTTTTCATGTTTTGGGTAATGTCACCTTAAAGAATGGATTTGAGTTTTCAGTGAATAAAATGTTTTAGTCTTTGGGGTTATTTTGTTGTTGTCTTTTTGTTTGTTTGTTGGAGACAGGGTTTCACTTTGTCGCCCAGACTGGAGTGCAGGTGGTGTGATCACGGTTCACATAGTCTCAACCTCTCAGGCTCAAGTGATCCTCCTGCCTCAGCTCCCCAAGAGTAGCTGGGACTACAGACACATGCCACCACACCCAGCTAAATTTTGTATTTTTTTTAGAGATGGGATTTCACTATGTTGCCCAGGCTGGTCTCGAACTCCTGGGCTCAAATGATCTGCCAGCCTCGGCCTCCTAAAGTTGCTAAGATTACAGGCGTGAGCCACTGCACCTGCCCGTAATCTCTGTTTTTTTTTTTGTTGTTATTGTTGTCGTTTGTTTGTTTGTTTGTTTGTTTTTGCTGCTGTTGTTTTGTTGTTGTTGTTGCTGTTTTATTTTTTAAATCTATTCCCGCCTCTTAATTGTACAGTCCTCAAGACACTGGACACTAGAGGTTTTTCAGAGAAAGTCCCAGAAGCCAATTCATATAGACACTCTTGAAGCAAAATATTTTGTGTAGATAAAAGTTCTAAAGCCATGCTCTCTCTAAATCCTTCAAAGCATGGATTAGTTTAGATACTTCATCAAAAAACTTCATGAAAAAGCATGACACCCTCTGCCCATTATTTATTATATAAATAATATATAGTAAGGTTTGCCAAACACGAAAGCAAGAGTAGAATTTTAAGTAGCATGGAAGTTTCCATGGATGGGATGTTGAGGTACATTAGTGCTATAAGAAATCAGTCCTTAAAATAGTTGACAAGCCTGTTAAAAGCTCTCCATACAGACTTGCTTCCCTTAAAGTGTTGTCCGAGGACCAGCAGCATCAGCAAAACTTAGAAGCCTGTTAGAAAGTGCACAAGTTCAGTTCCCACTCTAAATCTACTGCATTTCAACAAGATCCCCAAGTGATTCATACGTTAGAATGTGTATGAGAAAGTCTACATTAGATATGAGAAATGCTACAGTAGATCATACGACTCTGTCATCTAACTCCTGTGTGAACTCAGAGCGGGAGCTCTGGTCAGGAGGCCATTACATTTGATTTGACTAGTCCACTGATGCATTGAGACATCACTCCAACTCCTACCTAGCAAAAAATGGTAGCCTTGGCGCTTTCTGGTGTGGCTGACCAGGACTCTCGGTTTTCATCCTTTGTGATGTGCCTTTGTTGCCTATTGTCTATTAATAGTGCAGCAAGGTGATCATGGCTGAAAACCACAGCGTAGCATTAAGAGCTTGCTTGTTGAGGACGGGGACCAGCTGAATCATACCAAGACACCCACCCCCACTCCTAGGCACGACTTTAACACAGGTGAGGGCCTGCAAACATGAACATCAAGGGAAGCCTTAGAAGAAGAAGGCTCAATGAGCAATTGTTAAATTGCTCAATGAGCAACTGCAGAAGAAGGGAGGAGTGGCAGCCAGGCAGCTCAGGAAGGGGAGGTGGAACAGGGACATTTGCTTACAGATTTTAATGTACAAGGCAGGTTTTTCGGCACCAGAAATTTCAAAACACCTTTCTCCTTCCACAGCTGCTTAGCAGCTGCTGAGTCCCCCCTCCCCCTCCCCAGCATGTTCCTGGGCTTGGGCAAACATTCTCATCTTGCCACTGCCTGTGGCCGGCCTTCTGAGAATATGTCAGCTGCCTAAGGAGCAGTCACCCTCATTAAAAAAACAAACAAAAAAAACCAATAAATCCAGATCTG